AGCCTTCGGCGGCAGCTGTGGCGGCTGCGGCGCGGGGGTCTTCGGGGCGGGGAGGACCGCCTCTCCTCTCTCTTCTCCTCCACCTCCTCGGCCTCTGGTATATCGGAGCACTTTCATTCGCCCGGGGCCTCGCCGCGCCGCGCCACGAAGGCCCAGCAGGCTGCAGTGTCCGGCCCGGCCCGGCCGCCGCGGCTCAACGGCCACCCGGCGGACCCGACCGGCCCGGCCCGCCCACAGCTGCACGTCGGGCACTGCACCTGGCACCCGGCAACCTGGCACTGGCAACGGGACACAGGACATGAAGATATCTCCGGTAAACATTGTCACAATCCACGTCATTTAGCCTATCATACATATTTTTCAAAATCTAAAATTGTCTTGGATGCGTTAAGATTGTCATCCAGAAATTTTGCTGCACGTGTTGGCCACTACGCCTGGAACCTGGTAACCTGGCACCGATAACGGAATGCAGGACAAGGATCTGGTATAATGTCACTCACCTCATCATCAATATTTTATTTTTACTTTTTTTAAAAAAAGGACCCTTTGTCGGATAAAATTTTAATATTTCGCAAGAAGAGGTCAGCGCCGCCAGCTGGTGCCCTGACGAGTACGGAGATGCGTTGTGGGAGCGCGTACTGAAAGCTCCGCGTGCACCAAACAAGGGGCTGCCCCCGTGCACTCAGTACACTCCATAGGGAACGAGGAAGCTATGCCGTGGCCAGAGGGGGCGCGGCCGCGAGACGCGCGGGGGGACGACGCCTGTCTCGCCTATGGCATCATGAAAACAAAAAATTACATCACGGAGTCTTTGAGGAGAGGAGGCTTGTTTGTGGCCAAGATCGGGGCAAGAGAGGAGGACATGCGTCGGCATCGCGTGGGAGCATCTCTGCCCCGCCACGCCCCACCACGCCCTCATCAGCGCTGTACTTAGCGACGGCGCCGCGAGTACCGACTCCCGAAATGGACCACCGCGGTGCGATGGCGATGTCAGCGCGTCAGCGCCACACTTCCGATCGCCCTCCGCGTAACCTGGGCGGGGCGGAGCGGGGCGCGGAG